GGGGTCCCTACCCCTCCCTCCCCCCCACCCCCACGACGCACGCCCCATACGACCCCACCACACCATGCTGACGACCAGGGATCGGAGCCCCACCAGAGAGGCGGAGCCCCGCCGTGAATGGCCAAATTCAACCAGAGCAGTCAAGGGCGCCCGACCGGGAGAGGGCTGCCGCCAGAGAAAGCCCCAACTGCTATCAGGAACAGAAGCCTTAATCGCCGCCAGCTACAGTGAATCGAAGGTGCAAAACGTCAGTGGGGGAGGAGGGCGGTCTAGACGACTCATGGCCGAGCATATACCGACGACAAGGAAGGCCAATCGGACAGAATTCTGAGAAGACCTCAAGCGCGGACGAGGGTTTAAATAATAGAAAGAAAAAATTACACAGAAAATTTTAAATCTCTTTTAATATCTTTCTAATCTCTATTTTCAATTTCTTTTTAATATTTTTCTAATCTCTAGGTAGATTGACTATGAAATAAATAAATTTTGGAACAACCATTTTCACACTGCACAGACCTTAGAGCACACATGGCCATGGTTCAGATCAGCCCGATAAAATGATGTTTGTAGTATTTTTGGGCATGTGGTAACTGAGTTACCCGACTCGGGTCATTCTCAAAGGAAGGTTGTTCGGAGCTTCGCCTACTACCTAGTCGTCAAAGTCACATAACCGAAAAGAAGGTCCTACACATTCTACTCGCTTGATGGGTTTGGGATTCACGAAATAAAACTAACAATCTAGAGCAAATGAAAACAAATGATGCAAGATGAAAACTTTAGGTCAACCGGAGTCTCTATCACTCGGATAAACACGACGAACCAAGCAACATCATAGTAGTCATGTGATCCTAGGTGATTAAGTCGAGCTTTCTGACTAATGACTACGCTTTAAACCAAGTCGCACCCTTTACACAAGATAAGCATAAACTAATCCCTAACACACATCGACAACCAACAAAAATCGAACATTCCTCCATTCAACAAACAAAACCAAATTCACCTTGAAACACATCATAAGCAAAAATGGGCAAAATCGAAGTAATGGGGATTAAAGCTAATTACCCACTCTCTTAATGCATGCGTGAAGAACACCGGATGAAAAAGTTCAAATCTTGAAGTAAAATGATGTCACCGAAAACTTGCCGGAAAATTAGAGTAATAAAGCTCCAAACCAAAGCATAAAAAAGAAAAGAGAGAAAATGGAGAGGATTTCCCAACTTAAAAGTTGGGAAATGAGGGTGATGTCTCAAAAATACAAAGCACAATATCTTTTTATAGCTACACCACAAACACACACTAAAAACATGCATATTTAGTCAAATACTCTCGAGGTCTCCAAATTTTCCGCGAGGTTGCGAGTCGGCAAGGCACTAGGCGCGCATGGGCACTCGCGTGGTCGCGAAATGGCCCGCGGGCGCGGGCGCGGGCGTGCGCTGGCGATGGGGCGCTCTCGAGGTCGCGGAAAATCTCGCATGCACAGAAGTGGTACTCGCGGGCTAGGCTGGGGCACGCGAGCGTGCTGCGGGTGTAGGCAGAACACTCTTGACGTCGCGGAAATTACCACGAGCTCGCGGGCATGAGTGGAAAGCACTCTCGACGTTGCGGATTTTTCCACGAGCTCGCGGGCATGGGCGACGTGAGCACGGTCACGCGGCTGGGCATGTGGGCGCGGGCAAGTGCGTGGGAATGGTCCCGGTGACCTCTTGATGCTCGATTCGCTCTAAATCCTCGCACGCTTCTCCGATTGACTTGAAACTTTGACCCACTCTTCTCAAATCTTGTTCTCTTCGTCTTAAAATGTGTATGGCTCAAAATGGTTCGCGTGGCTAGGACATGGTTCGGACGTCTCAGAATATCTCGAAAATAGCTCGTTTCCCGAGTCATTGTAATGATGGACCTATTCAACACCAAAAAGACAAGAAAAATACGCCGAACCACAAAAATACAACACGAGAATAAAAATACAAAAACACGATAAAATAGACCGGTCGACACTAAAACGAACTTGAAAAGACTCGACTAAGGCACATAAAACGCACGAAAATATGCACTAAAACATAATAAACAATCGGCCCGGTCAAAACATTGACAACGAGCCTTGAATCGACTCGTGAATTTATCCAAATCGAATTCAAGTTCATATTTTTTAACAAATCGATTGTCCGTTTCGATTTTAAATCGGAACCGACAGTTCGACGAATTTCAAAATTAATTCTTTATTTTTTATTCTTATTTGATTATTATTATTAATTTTTATGTCAATTATGAATCATGTATATATACCCGAATCTGTTCTGGTTCACATAATATGTGAACCTGAACCAGCAGTTCCTAACTGGAACTGGCCCAGAACCAGCAATTGACCACGTCTACCTTAGGGCTTAGACACAGTGTTTTAAATATTGTTTCAATAAAGAATAAAGTACAAGTATGTGGTTCAATCCATTTTACGGTCTCGATTTTATTAGTTTTAATAGCAATTAATTAATTTTATTATTATAATATAAATAATGTGTAAAATCACCATTAACCAATATAAATTGTAAAATCTAAACATATCCAAATTAAGTGTAGAACTTTTAATCATTGACAGAAAATGAGATTTTTTCGTATGAAATCGATATTAACCAATATTTTGGTACAAATATTCAAAGGGGTTATTAGTAATTGAACCCATTGTTCTGAAAATCGGATCGGACCGGATCGGGTGGTTCAACCAATTGGACCGAAAATCGGCATTCATTCCGGTTTAGTTTGAGCCTTCAAATCGCTATATGCAGGAGAACCGGAAATCGGCATTCATTCCGGTTTAGTTTGAGAACCGTTCGAACGGGTCCAAAACCGATTGAACTGGTGAACCGGGACCGATTCGAATGGTTCACCAGTTCAAGCTTATGATTTTGAACTTAGTAGATTGTGAAGTGGTTTAAATAACACACATTTTTTACATGTATTTCCTATGTGGGATATATTTCTCTGCTTAAATAATTGGGTCAATATTGAAATTAACAAGTAAAATTGTACTCATTAAAATATGTATTGTTATTTGAAGTGGATTATCTATTGAGTTATATTTATTCCCATTTTTTTAAAAAAGGAAGCAAATTATTTTATGGGAAAATTACACTTTGCCCACCAAACTATTCGTTTTTTTACACATTGCCCACCAAACTTCGTTTTGTGACACTTAACCAGGCAAAACTTCATGAAATGTTGCACTTCACCTGTTTTCGGTCACCGGCAGCCATTCTCAGGGGCTTTTCTGTCTTTTCAATATCTAAAATAAGTACAAAATCCCCAAATCCCAATTGGAGCTCAATTAAACGCGATACATAGCAACCAAAACCCTAGTTTGTTCAAATCGTTCCAAAATTCTGAGAAAATAAAGAAGAACAAACCAAATGAACTGATTGAAAAGCTATATTCCTTCAAATCGTTAGTAATGGGTTGGCAAATTCGTGAGAAAAACGATTCATCGAGTGCGAATGGTCCGTCATATGGTAAGTTTTGTTTTCTGTTTTTTGCTGAGAAAATTAATTCATAGAACAATTATTCAGGCCAATAATTTTGCAGTTTATGGTGATTGATTATATTAATGTAATTGTCATATGGCTTGCAGGACCAAATGATGATTATTTTACAATTAGGGTTTACCATTCTGGCAAGTTTTGTGGATTTGGGCCACATTTTTCTGGCCCGTTTTCTCTTGCTTGCCAACTCGGCTTCAGTCTCTTCAAGACGTCTCTTAAGCCCTAGAATGATTTGTCGAGCTCTTGTGCACATTGGAGGGTCGATCCAAACATAATACTTGCAGCCATTCTGAGAAGAAAAATTAAACTATCAAATAAAAAAAAAATCTACAGAAAAGGAGAAAAAACGTACCCGTCCTTGCAAGCGCTTGCAGGTCGCATACTGCCTTCCCGGGTTGTTGTCCGTCCAAGATGTGATCATCACCGTCTTCTTACCGCACCTGCAATATTCGTCCAACGTGACCTCAGATGTTTGCCTCCAAATCGCCTCTTCCGCCATTTCTTCAAGATTCAAATTAGGGTTCTTGTAATTTGGGAATTTTGTCTTCAATTTAGGTTTTAAGTTCATTTATAAGAGAGGGTAGATGTGTTTAGACATTTTTGTCTATGTTTTAGATGTTGAAAAGACAGAAAAGCCCCTGAGAATGGCTGCCGGTGACCGAAAACAGGTGAAGTGCAACATTTCACGAAGTTTTGTCTGGTTAAGTGTCACAAAACGAAGTTTGGTGGGCAATGTGTAAAAAAGCGAATAGTTTGGTGGGCAAAGTGTAATTTTCCCTTTTATTGTTGTTTGTTATGCACATTATTTTTATTTTTTAATCAATAATAAAAAAATTAAAATGTGATTTAAAATAAAAATTGGGTTGTTTCTATTCTCTCTATTTTGTAAATTAAATATAGATTAAAATTTTAAATATAAAACTAAATAAGAAAAAAAAATTAACAATATTATTCAACATTGTCGGTTGTGTATATATATATATATAATATTAACTCTTATTTAGAGAAATGTCATATACTATAAAATTAATAATAAAATTTATAATTATCTATTATACATAAAAAATAAATAAAAAATTATATATCAATTAAAATGATTTGACCAGTTCAAACTGCTGATCCGACCAATAAACGATTGAACCAATAACTTCACCGGTTAGACTTTCATAACCATTAAACCGTTGCTTAGTCCCTTGCATTCTTTCCTTCTATTTTTAATTTTTAATTTCCCTTATATTTCCTTCCACCTCGAACCCCTCAAATTTCTATATAAATAAGGCGGCCTCTTGTCTTCGAAACCTCACTCTCATTATAACCCTAAAACAATCAAACGCGTTAAACCAAAAAAAAAAAAAAAAAAGGAACTCCGACCGCCGGCGCCGCTGCAGAAATTTTTTTTCTGCAGCTGCTTTTCTTGCTTTTTTTTTTCCTTTTATAATTCTCTCTATAAACCTCACACAGAAGAGGAAAATGGCTCGCTCGCTCTCAAACGCTAAGAATTTCACCGTTCAGATCGCCGGAAAAATGTCAGCTATTGTCTCCAGGTACGAAGATGTTCATTAAAGCTTTATTATTTATATTAATTGTATTTTTAAAAAATATTAAATAATTATGTAATGTGATGTGGGTTTTGATACGGTTACACAGGAGGGGATACGCAGCAGCAGTATCACAGGTCGGTGAGTCCAGCGGGTCTAGATCCGGGGCTCCGAATCTCATTCTGAAGAAAGGATCCGAGGAGCCAGCCAAGATCTCGTGGGTGCCCGACCCGGTCACCGGGTTCTACCGACCCGAGAACCAGGCTAAGGAAATCGACGCCGTTGAGCTACGGGCGATGCTGCTCAAGAGCAAATTCGGGAGAAACTAGATCCGACCCGTTAGGAACCGGGTTACGGGTTTGGATATACAAAAGATTCACAAATGATTTTATTCATTTGATTCGTTCTGTTGTGGGGTTTATGGAGGGTTCTTATATTGCCATGTTGTACTATGTTTTTTTGAAATAAACTACAAGTTAGTACTCTCTCCTATTTTTATTATTTGTCATTCTAGCTTAATTGATCATTAATTAAATAAATGTCGTTTTGACTATTTTGTTCATATTTTTCCATTTTTAACCTTTCATTTAACACAGTCTTTTCATATCTCATCTCCATTGTTTCCCATAACATCCATTAAATAGGGTTAATATTGACAAGAAAATTTTTTTTTAATTAGCGTGTTGGTTTTCAAAACGACAAATAATAAAAATAGAAGGGAATACAATACTCGTGTACACGGGTGTGAGTTAAGAACTATATGATAAAGTTAATGCTAATATGAATTTTTTATTTAAAAAATTTGATGGACTAATTGATAAAAAAAAAAAAAAAAAGAATATACAATGTCATAATAAGGTAAGATTGCTACTTGCCCAAGCTAAGAAGTAAATGTGTACTAAGAGAAAAAAATAACAAAATTAAATATGCACTTAACAAGTTTGATAAACCAAATTTTGAGGGATCGGAAAAATTGTCCTCTTTCGCGAGACAAAAAAAAAAAAAAGAAATCTCATCCTCCATCGCTCTCTCCTCTTTCGCTGCGCTTTGCCTTCCTCGGCGATGCCGCGGCCACGGCCAGTGGTCGCACTCGACTGCTCGACCACCCTCTGATGTCTCGTACCTTTGATTTGCTGCGGCGGTTCTGAGATGTGAGGGTTGCTCTTGCCTTAGATCGCCGGCGCGCTACTGATTGATGAAGGTGGAGATCTTCTTGGTTGGAGCTTGGCCTACGATTTGTGGTGTCCATTGTTGGCGGGTCTCGACAGGGAGTGGTCTTCCCCTAAATCTGCTTTATATAACTACATTATAACATTCTTTGATTTTGGCTTCACAGCAAAACTGTTAAATCTTATAATGTAGTTATATAAAAGGGTTACACATATATGGATTCTTAAAGAATGTTTGAGTTTAAAAATTTGTGTATCGTTTGAAATTTTAAAAAATCTTAAAAGTTATGAGGAATTCATTTCGTATTTCGAAACTTCTTATAAAATCATGAATATTCAATTTATTTATCACTTGTATTTGTGCAGATTTTTTTAAAACTTATTGAAATTTTAAAGACAAAATACATAAGAAATTGAAATCAAATTTATTTCTAGACATGATATTTTTAAGGATTTCACTTGAATTTAAAATCTAAAAAAAGTATATTAAAAAAAAACTTAAAATCCTAAATGAACGAGTGTTTTAATTGGAAAACCACTTTAGCCTTCTATTTTGGTATTCCCCAATCAAATATTGTGCTCATTACCAACATAGGTTGATTCAAGTGATAAGCAGTTTGATACCGCTTAAGTAAGGTCTCGGGCTCGAGTCATCGTGGATGCAAAAAAATCTTTGTTAGGAGACTTACCCACCACTGTTAGGTATGCAATCCGGGTCGACCAACAAATTAGTTGGGGAATAGTTCCGTTGGCTAAGAAAAATATTGTGAAAATGTGGATCATATACATATATCTCTTTTTGAGGAAATTAATAGGTGGTATCATATTCATATTCTCTCTTTTGTGGAAATTAAACATAGCTCACCAATCATATCTCTTTCTCTTATCTATAAAAAAGACCCCATACCCTCATTTTGCGACACCTGTCCAATCTTCTCTCATTAGGCCACGTCGCCATCCTTAAAACGACGTCGTTTTGTAACATTTATTTCTGTAACCCTACGGCTTGCTGTTCTTCTGCAGAAAAAACGTTCCTCCAATTTTTTTTTCCTTTAAATCTGAATCTATCAATCTTATTTCTTATGCAATTTTTTTTTTTTTTTTTTTTTTAATTTTTTAATTCCCGTTCAGCTTGAAATAGCCTACAAAACTCAATTTGTGGCGATGGAATTTTCCTCACCTGTGTGGACCGATGGATCAAAGCTAGACGGCATAGAGTTCGTGGTGTCAAGAAGAGCCGATTACAATATCTTTGCTATTTCTCAAGTAAGTTTTTTTTTTTTTTTTTTTTTTTTTTT